ACACACCAACACCCGGCGTGCCTGGAAGAAGGAGGCCTTCGACCTCTTCATGGACCACACCTTCTTCCAGATGGACTCCTCCTGCGTCAGCCAGTGAGTAGGAAGGAGAGGAAACTAACTGTGTGTGGGTGAAGACTTGTACAGCTGTAATGCAAGTTATTACAAGAGAGAAATGCACTTAAGAGATCACAATTGAAGGGGGATAGAATTATAAACAAAGACACTTCATCTACATAAGAGAGAGATTTTAAAGTAAAAGCTTCACTATGTTTAGTTTTGCATCTGTTGCCAAATATAACAAAGCTGTGCTTGTAGAAATCATTCCATAATTTTCCTCATTTTTGCAGCTGGAGAGCGATCATTGACCACTTGATGACTCATGACAAGACCACATTCAGAGACCTCATGAGTAAGCTAGTTTCCCTATTAGAATTTGGAGATGTATCACTGGGTGTAGTCACAGATCATTTATCAGACCACCTCCCTCCACTTACTGACGGCTCAAAACATTCTAATATGTTACAGATATTAAAAGCTAAAAGACTGTGGCAGGTGAAGTAATAACACGTCACATTTGTGTGTGTGTGTTCCTGTTAGCTCGGGTGGCTGTAGCCCAGAGCAGTTCCCTGAGTCTGTTCACCAACAGAGATGCTGAGCTGGAGCAGAGGGCCATGCTGCTTAAACGTCTGGCCTTCACCATCTACAGCAGCGAAGTGGACCAGTATCAGAAATATCTGCCTGACATACAAGGTAACCTCACACAGAAAACACCACTCTGAAGTTCCTTAATATTATCTGTCGCCTGAAAGCCCAGCTGAAGTTATTAGGTATTTTTTCTTCTAACGTGTGTGTCCACAGAGCGTCTCGTGGAGAGCTTGCGTCTGCCTCAGGTGCCCATCCTTCATGCTCAGGTGTTCCTGTTCTTCAGAGTGCTGCTGCTGCGCATGTCACCTCAGCACCTCACCTCTCTGTGGCCCACCATGATCACTGAGCTGGTTAGCAATACAGGCTACATAAAATCTGACCCCTGCTGCAGCTGTGCCTGTGTTTTACCCAAACTGATCCACTCACACATTTGTATGTTGCAGGTTCAGGTGTTTCTACTGATGGAGCAGGAGCTGACAGCAGATGAGGACATATCAAGGTATACAATGTCTTGTTATAACAAACTGGTCTGTGATGGTAAATGTACATCACAGACAACTCACTCCTGTCTTCCTGTTTGTTTGTTTTTTAAACAAAATCCTGTTCACCTGTAGGACATCCGGGCCATCTGTGGCTGGGCTAGAGACCACCTATTCTGGAGGGAACGGCTTCTCCACCTCCTACAACAGTCAACGCTGGCTCAACCTCTATCTCTCTGCCTGCAAGCTTCTGGATCTGGCCTTGGCGCTGCCTCCCGAGAGCCTGCCTCAGTTTCAGATGTCAGTACAGACACTAGCTTGCATGTCATCATCAGGGACTCAATAACAGACATACAGTGGGGCAAAAAAGTATTTAGTCAGCCACCGATTGTGCAAGTTCCCCCACTTAAAATGATGACAGAGGTCAGTAATTTGCACCAGAGGTACACTTCAACTGTGAGAGACAGAATGTGAAAAAAAAATCCATGAATCCACATGGTAGGATTTGTAAAGAATTTATTCGTAAATCAGGGTGGAAAATAAGTATTTGGTCACCTCAAACAAGGAAAATCTCTGGCTCTCACAGACCTGTAACGTCTTCTGTAAGAAGCTTTTCTGTCCCCCACTCGTTACCTGTATGAATGGCACCTGTTTGAACTCATCATCTGTATAAAAGACACCTGTCCACAGCCTCAAACAGTCAGACTCCAAACTCCGCCATGGCCAAGACCAAAGAGCTTTCGAAGGACACCAGGAAAAGTATTGTAGACCTGCACCAGACTGGGAAGAGTGAATCTACAATAGGCAAGCAGCTTGGTGTGAAAAAATCAACTGTGGGAGCAATCATCAGAAAATGGAAGACATACAAGACCACTGATAATCTCCCTCGATCTGGGGCTCCACGCAAGATCTCATCCCGTGGGGTCAAAATGATCATGAGAACGGTGAGCAAAGATCCCAGAACCACACGGGGGGACCTGGTGAATGACCTGCAGAGAGCTGGGACCAAAGTAACAAAGGTCACCATCAGTAACACACTACAACGGCAGGGAATCAAATCCCGCAGTGCCAGACGTGTTCCGCTGCTGAAGCCAGTGCATGTCCAGGCCCGTCTGAAGTTTGCCAGAGAGCACATGGATGATACAGCAGAGGATTGGGAGAATGTCATGTGGTCAGATGAAACCAAAGTAGAACTTTTTGGTATAAACTCAACTCGTCGTGTTTGGAGGAAGAAGAATACTGAGTTGCATCCCAAGAACACCATACCTACTGTGAAGCATGGGGGTGGAAACATCATGCTATGGGGCTGTTTTTCTGCCAAGGGGACAGGACGACTGATCCGTGTTAAGGACAGAATGAATGGGGCCATGTATCGTGAGATTTTGAGCCAAAACCTCCTTCCATCAGTGAGAACTTTGAAGATGAAACGAGGCTGGGTCTTCCAACATGACAATGATCCAAAACACACCGCCCGGGCAACAAAGGAGTGGCTCCGTAAGAAGCATTTGAAAGTCCTGGAGTGGCCTAGCCAGTCTCCAGACCTCAACCCCATAGAAAATCTGTGGCGGGAGTTGAAAGTCCGTGTTGCTCGGCGACAGCCCCAAAACATCACTGCTCTCGAGAAGATCTGCATGGAGGAATGGGCCAAAATACCAGCTACTGTGTGTGCAAACCTGGTAAAGACCTATAGTAAACGTTTGACCTCTGTTATTGCCAACAAAGGTTATGTTACAAAGTATTGAGTTGTATTTTTGTTATTGACCAAATACTTATTTTCCACCCTGATTTACGAATAAATTCTTTACAAATCCTACCATGTGGATTCATGGATTTTTTTTTCACATTCTGTCTCTCACAGTTGAAGTGTACCTCTGGTGCAAATTACTGACCTCTGTCATCATTTTAGGTGGGGGAACTTGCACAATCGGTGGCTGACTAAATACTTTTTTGCCCCACTGTAATTTGTTTAGGTAGAAGTGTGTGCCTGTGTGTCAGTATTTGAGATGTGGAAGGGTACATTGTGATAATTGATTATGTGAATTTCACTCCTTTTAAAGCTGTTCTGAGTCAATCTGAGTATGTCACGCCTCATTACAGGTATCGCTGGGCCTTCATCCCAGAGGCGTCAGACGATTCGGGGTTGGAAGTGAGACGTCAGGGGATTCACCAGAGAGAGTTTAAGCCCTACATTGTCCGACTAGTGAAGCTGCTGAGGAAACGAGCCAAGGTATCTCATCTTCTCTTGTCTGCACAGGTTATTAAATAATGAAGATAAATGAGTGCCTTTTACAAAGAGGAAAGTGCTTGTTAAAAGAGGCTGTTTTGCAAATTGTAGTTTTTGCGGGTTGGCAGGTGAATATTCAGCTTTAGTAAATTATTTGCCTCCTCCTCATAGAAAAACCCAGAGGAGGACTGCTCCACCCAAACCCTGTCCTGGGAGCCAGGTCACCTAATGCTGACCCTCTACGTGATCCGCAGTATGGAGCAGCTGCTGCCCTTCTTCAACTTGCTCAGCCAGGTGTTCAGCAGCAAGGCCAGCAGCCGCTCAGGCCCCGCCTACGCTCACAACCGCACAGATGCCTCTTTCCCCAGCCACAAGGAGGGCCACAAACTGGAGAGCCAGAAAGTGTTCTGGAGTCGAGCTCGACAAAACATTGAGGAGATGGTTGAAAAAGACTTTCTAGAGGGGCTCATCAAGACGTGAGGTCAAAACAAGCGGAGGGAGAGGGAACTAACACACAACTGATCAACACTAGTGAACCTCAACCTGTACATTAAAAAAAACTATATGGGACTATAAACTTGGGGAGGAGTTTGTACATTCTTTTTTTTTTTTTTTTATAATGATTTTTCTTTTAAAAGCTACTTTATTGATTTTAATTATTTGTATATATGGAGCAGCTTTGATGACTTTCAACATTTCATGTGAGTCCTTTAGGATAAAGTGAAAATGCTGTGCCATTCCATATCGATGTGATTAATAAAGATTTCTAATGAGAAGTTTACATCAGCTATGTTGTTCTCTTTCTAAATATTAAGAAAGAACTTACATTACGCCCCTGCCATTCAGTCTAAGTCTCTTCAGTCTCTTCTCCATTCTCATCTGAGCAGGTGTAGACTGTGTATAAAAGATAGACAGCCACTACCGCATTGCCCGTTGGTTTCCACATTAGCTTTGTCGTCATCGGAATCTTGTTTTTCTGGAGCCAGCCATGACTACAGTTACTCAAAAAGGATCAATGCTAGAGAACATAGAAAAATGTGTGAGCACAATACACAGACACACCTACCTGCTGTTTAGTGCAGTAACGGGGTAATAAAATACTAGAAAATGCCTAAAACCAAAACTCAAGCAAAGACTTCTCTACTTCACAGAAAGCCATTCTTGTCAGATAATTCCATTTAAGATGCAAAGCAGCAACACCACAAAGGCAGTCAAGAGGTCAGTTTGTCTCTGAGATGACCGTATCAGTATGGACTTTAGATGGTACCCTTTTAAGTTCCTGTTGGTCAACTCCACCTACATTGAGTAGACACTCAGCAGGAGAGGAGCAAAACATATAAACATTGTCTGCAAGGGAGTCCTAACAACAGTAGCCTGAGCAGCTACGTACAGTGGCTTGCAAAAGTATTCGGCCCCCTTGAACTTTTCCACATTTTGTCACATTACAGCCACAAACATGAATCAATTTTATTGGAATTCCACGTGAAAGACCAACACAAAGTGGTGTACACGTGAGAAGTGGAACGAAAATCATACATGATTCCAAACATTTTTTACAAATAAATAACTGAAAAGTGGGGTGTGCGTAATTATTCAGCCCCCTGAGTCAATACTTTGTAGAACCACCTTTTGCTGCAATTACAGCTGCCAGTCTTTTAGGGTATGTCTCTACCAGCTTTGCACATCTACAGACTGAAATCCTTGCCCATTCTTCTTTGCAAAACAGCTCCAGTAGTCAGTGACTGATTTGATAACTGAGAGATGAGCGCTGTCAGATGGGAGAGAGGTCACAGCTGTTATTATACCCTATTAAAAATAAATATATTTAAAATACATTTCTAAGTGCCATGAACAAGTATTGTATTTTATATGTAGGTTTTTCCAATGTACATTAACACATTTTAATGTACATTTTTATGAAAAACGACTGATAGAACTGCATAATGCTGATCAGAAAATGTGATTGAGAGCACGACGCCAGAAGACTTCAGCACCATGGACAGGGCCGAATCCGCTGATTGGCTGCGCGTGGTTATATAAAATCGTGCTCCCTGAAGCTGCACGCTTCTTATGACCTTCGTAGTACGGAAGCAGCATGACAGGCACCAAAACCCTGTAGAGTAGCTGTATTAACCCTTCACATCCTCACGCAGCAACCCCATTCGCCCACCTCCCCACCTCTCTCGCTTCTCCCTTGAGCTCTCGCGATAAAAGAGGCTGCAGTGGGGTTGGTAACACTGCGTCACCTGACTCAAAGGAGGGGGCAGGGCGTGTTGAGAAATATAAATAAAATAATAATTAAATAAACGGAAGGATGTAAGTCCACCGAAAGCACCGCCATCCAACGACCCGGTTTGAAGCGCGCATCCCCGGAGCTGACGGTGAGGAAGGCGCAGAGGAAGCGTGGGGCTGCAGAAGGAGAAGGAAGAAGAAAAACAAACAAACAGAGAAAAAAAAACGCTGCACTGGATGGTGTGGGATGAAGATGATGATGATGTTCCCCTGCACGCCCCGCTGATACTCAGGGACTGTCAGACTGGTGGTGGTGGTAAGGATTATCCAGGAGACAAGCGGAAGGAAGACAGGGAGGAGGGGAGGCAAGAGACAAGCATCATCCAGGGAGGACGGCATTGTGAGGGAGGCTGTCCGACCATAACGCGGAACAGTAAGAAATTCATTAAAAAACGGAGGGGAAAACACTGAATTAAAACCTGGATTAGCGTTTTACTTTTTTGCCCTCTCCTTTTTCCCCCTTCTCCCCCTTTTTTTGCATATAGACTGTAGTTATCACCGGATACTGGAATTCAGGGAAGAAAGTCAGTTCATGATTGTTCCAGAAACGCATGCAGATCCAGCAGATCTGAGTGGATATACCAGCTCTCCGCTTGTTATGCAACTCAAATCAATTGCGGCTCTTTAGAAAGTGCCCTAATATTTCTTTTCCTGGAGCCTGTGTCTGTGTGGTGTTCTCGAGGGCGGCTGGGATTACTGAGGCTGCTCGCTCATTCCGGCGTGCGCGCGTGTGTGTGTGTGTGTGAGTAGGGGGGGGTAGGACCATATTGGAGGCTTGCTGGTTGTACTCCGCGGAGAGAAGATGTCGGGGCAGACGCTGACGGACCGCATCGCCGCGGCTCAGTACAGCCTGACGGGATCCGAGGTGTGCCGAGCGGTGTGCAAAGCCACCACGCACGAACAGACAGCCCCGAAGAAGAAACACTTGGAGTGTGAGTACATCTACGTCTAAGTAACCCCTCCATCTATCCTTCTCATGCACAACTAGGCCTTGCACCAAAGCCATGATGGTTGCCCCCCACCCCCACGTCCGTTACTCCAGCGTGTCTTAATATGCTTGGATGGGTTTCTAGTCATAGTATATACTCACGTGTATGAACACACACACACACACACACACACACACATACTACCGAAAGACCACCAACAGGAACTGCTTTCAGTCTTAACTGACCAAGCCAAAGTTAATATATAATTACACGGCCTCTCACCCGCTGACTGTGCATTAGTGTAGAGCCAGAATAGGGAAACCACAAAGTCTCCAACCAGATACTTACAGATAAAAGTCCCTCTGATTGCATGCTATCTCTCCCTCCAATGCTGCTCTTATGCTAGTTACTGCATAATTAAAAGGCTAAAAGTAGTTTCAGTACTACTAAGCACACAGGTGGGGTTGTTGCCTGAGACCTTGTCCTCTATGGTAGCACTGAAAAAACTGCCAACATATTTATCACAGATTTCTTTTTTCGTTTCTTGGTGCAGTTTCTAGATGTCTTTCATTGCACGAACAGGGTTGTCAAATGAAGGAGCAGGCGGTGCCAATTCAATTAAAAAAAAAGGCTATTAGCTTTTTGGAAAGGGTGGAATGGGGCTGTATTTACTGATAACACACAATTTCAGGGACAGTCAATATCCCCGGTGGTCATCCATACATAAAGTAGATTGAACTCTCCAATGACTCATGCGCAGAATAGATAAAAGTGAACACAGCAAAGGTGGAGGTTTCAGTTAGAGTGATTTTTTTTCAGGATGCAAATGAATGACACAAGGCCTTTAAGTATTTTTGCCAATAAATATGCAAAAAACAGACCAAGCTTGTGCATTTGATCAGAACACATACATGTGAATAACACAGCCTTTTGCTTTTTCTGCACAATGATATAATACAGCTTGTATTAAGATATTCAACACACAAAATTAATTTGTCTATAATATAAACACCATCCATGCATCACATCTGGGAAACATAAAGACTTGGTTTTATTTATTTGGTTTTGGAATAATTGGAAACATTAGGAAGTTATTGAAACAAGCTGGTGAGAGGTCAGTGAGTGCAAGTCACTGAATTGTTGAGGTTATAGGCATCTATATAGACAGAAACTAATGGAGGAAGAGTTATGGCCGGGATGGCCGATGTGTTTGAGGTGTGGACCCAAAAACAGACATGTGAGAGAAAAATGAAGTATAACAAAAAGCAAGCCGTTTATTAAGGGTGATATCAAACAGAAAACAAGGCAAGGTGAGCTGGGGAAAAACTAAACTAAAACCTAAACTGGGATGAACTAAAACTAACATGAAAACTATGCCCAGAGGTGGGACCAAGTCATTGTTTTGCAAGTCTCAAGTAAGTCTCAAGTCTTTATCCTCAAGTCTCAAGTCAAGTCTCAAGTAATGTCAGGCAAGTCAGAGTCGAGTCTCAAGTCACTGGTGTAAAAGTCCGAGTCAAGTCACAAGTCTGAAATTTTGAATTTCAAGTCCTTTCGAGTCTTTAAAAAAAAAAACGAAAAAAGATGTTGCAGTTATATGCTAAATGTAAATATTAGACCATGTAATTTTTAAATCTGTGTTTTTCTCAACACATGACAAAATAGTGAACTTAGAAAATATACACAAATTGTGAAATTGCACCTCTTTAAAATGCAGCTCAATTAAACCTAGCTCCAAGAATAATTTTCACCGACAGTTCTGAGATAAGCTGCATGTTATTCTTGGATGCGGTTAGTAACTTCAGGTCACTGCAACAAGCCCAGGTACAGTTTACCGACGGATGGGTGCAGGACCTTGAAATGCACCGTGTAGAAAGTAAAGACCATCGTACGTATCATAAGTTTACCAGTCTCACAAATCGTCGTCATAAATACACATTCGTTAACCGTTTATTAATAGGACCTTTGAGCTCAACGGTAATTAATTAGTAGTGGAAATAATTTCTGGTTCATTACAGAAATGTAGCAGTGACAATAATACTGTATGCTGTAATCGTACTGGACAATTAGTGATACAAAACAACTGTTTTATCCTGTGAATAAAAGTATATGTTTTTGTCAATGTACCATAATAACAGAAGCGAAACGCAATATTGTGTCAGGACAATTCACTATTTATGCACAATAAACAAAGGAGCATAGCGCGACAATTTCTGTTCAGCGCCAGACTTGCTTGTAACCTATATCACCAATTATGTTATGAAAATGACGTATTAACTACAACAGCAAGACTGACCTTTGTAAATGCTTGGAGCAGACTAACCTGTGAGCTGGAGTGTTCTGGGACGTTATATTTGGTCTTTGAATGGCTGCAATCCAGGCCATCCGTCGCGTCTTTGTTACTTCGGAAACATGGCTCGAACAATTTCTCTTCAACGACGTAATCCGATAACAACCGATCTCTTTACCCGTCGGCTTCCCGTGGCTGTCATGCGACCGGCTATTGCAGTTAATAATACAACAGCTTC